AGGAAACATGGCTGGAGCACCCGCTGCCACCTTTTTTCCGCCAACCCGTCTGCCCAGGACCGCGATACAAAGGTTTGAGGCCGATAATGGATTATATTTGGTCTCAGGTTGGTAATTCTGATTTTTATTGGCATATTTGAAACTGGAAAACTAGTTGTACTATCCTAATGGTAGCAACATTGTCAAAAACCATATTTAAACTTAAATGATATTTATTTAGCAATTCTGGAAGTTTTTTGTTTCTGGTTCTTAAACGCATCCAAATCCGTAAAATCGTACTGTGTGCAGAAATTGCAGGGGCATAAAAAATTAATTTAGGGAAAAATGAAGAAATATTCAGAACCTAATTTTCAAATATAAATACGTAAATTGTTTTCAAATGGTTTTTTACTGTTCCTGAACGTTCAAACTTTACAAATATTGAAAATTATCGAAAATACCGATTCTTCCACAAAAAAATGACCGATTTTCAAACAAAATTTATTTTTCAAAACTTTTGTAGATAAATTTTCTAGCTGAAATATCTCTTTTTTTACCAAAAATACTATTAAAACACTTGCTGTTAAGTTACTCGACATTTTCTCCCCGGATAATCACTTTGAACGTGTCAAATCGCATAGAGTTCCCACACTAATGACACTGTGAAATTAATAAATTACTAAGCATAATTTAAGCGATCGGCCACCTTATCGAGATCACACCACTCAATGATGGGGACGATCCGTCGCTGGTTGATCCTGAAATCCAGCACCTCTTTCCGGTTTTTGACCCAGGAGAACAAATCGTGGAGATTCAAGAAATCCAGCCGGACGAGGATGTCTATGACGAAGGTGGGTTTTCATTCTGTTTTTATACCTTATTTTCCTCTCTAGGCGCAACCCTCCTGTTTTATACGCGATCCCGGAAATATGCCTGGCTGAATTTCGAGGAGTTGGAGGGATATATTTGGGGTGGTGGAAACAGGTTCGTTACTACTACCAAATTTTTCCAGAAACCCCATGCGGTCCTACAAACAAACAACTCATTTTTATAGCGTTCTGCACAGCTTTCAGATCGAAAAGGGTTCCTCAAAAATTATCAAAAATCTCGACGTTTTTACGTTCTTGTCAAAAATGTAGGAAAAATAGCCAAAAGAGTGAATTTTTGGGGATTCTTTGCATTTTCCTAAAATTTGCTTGAAGTCGAAAAATAGTAAAATTATTCGAATACATTTTATACTATTAAGAGGTTTTCACCTCAACCCCCCCCTACTAACAGTCCATTACCATTGGCAAATGTCCGATTGTTGGCAAACATTTGCCCTAGCATAGCGATAAAACCTGAAAAATCGCCAATGGAATCGACCTAGGCCGCTGTTCAACTGGAAGAACATTGTTGATATGCACAAAATCGATGGACTCGGCGGATTCGATCTGCATAATCTGGCCGTGAATACAGTGTGGCTTTACAACCCTCACGGCGATCATCTATCGGTAAGAAAAAAACTAACAAGGGAACCACGTAAGGTTAAGGTGGGGTTTCGTTATGGGACCGGGCCTATTTTGTGCAGGATTTTTTTCGCTAATTCTGAATCCGCTTTCAGCTTTTGCCAAACAACTCGTATGAGAGAGTGGGTTGTGCGAGTTTCAACAATTTTGAGTTAGGAAGCTCATTCGATAGAGAAGATTTTGCTGAACGCGATGGTGATATTAGCTTCTGAGAAATCTTCCGGGAAAGGCAAAATAAATGGCCCTGAAATTCGAAAACTTCGAAAAAGACGGAACTTTTTCAAAGCACTATAACTTTTTCAAACGTGCTATTTTGGCAAAAATTGAAAGCGGATTCGAAATTAGCAAAAAAATGAGCACAACATAGGCCCGGAAACCCTACCTTAACCTTACGTGGTTCCCTTGTAGACCATTTATCTGGATTAAATTAAACCGTGCTCTGATTATTCCGAATGTTTTAGTTCTTCGGACCGATATCCGCTGATATTTTCGGTGTTTTGACTGAGAACCAGCAAACTATTAAGATGCAGGTCCTAGATTCAGCTGCATCTTATGTGTAAGTATAGGCTCAGCTTTGATTGGGATTCAGGTAAATGACCTGTGCCCTATCTGTGGTTTTAGGCAAGAACAACGAAGATACATGTGCTCCAGTGATTCACACTCCTCGTGGGCCGCATATTATACTGAAGGCACCGATTTTGTCGAGCAGATTTACGGCAAGGAGCGACGTCGTTTCAAGTTTCCAAAGGTATGATTCAAGGTACGACTCACTTAAAGGGGCTCGGAAGTCAAGATTCGTGCATGTGGGGATTGAACCTACTGGCCAAAAAGCAAAAGGGTTACTGCCAAGAAGATCCAGGAAAGTGATTTGGTTGTGAAAAAACCCGCATAATATTTGAGTAAAACGGAAATGTTTTCGGAGCGAAAACTACTTTTTCGAGGGCGGCGACGGCGCGGGGTCATAACCTTGTAAGGCACCCGAGCTCTCAATCTCGGTGATTCTCCGCTCAATTTTCATAATTAAAAAGTCTAGAATGACCAAAATTCTGTGAGAATTCCAGAAATAGCAACAGAATTTTTAAATTCAAGCTTTTTACATCCAAACAGGGGCCAAAGATCGCGCTGTGGTCGCGTCTGGTTATTTGCGAGGAATCAACGCAGGGGCCGTGAACCGGATTTCGGGGCCCCTTTAGTGAAAAGTTTGACTATCCCACGGCCTGTTTTCAAAATTGTTTAAAGTCGCATTTCTTGCGATTCAACAACTCTTCAGGTGGAAGGCGAGCGGTTTGATGGCTGGGATCTGATAATGTTCTTCAATGACATCTACCTTCTAACACTAGGCCGCTTATACTACTTCAATGGAAAATCTGGAGAAGTTGGAAATATCCGGAATGCAACTCCCATAAGCTTTAGGTGAGAGGCTTGGAGCTGCCGATCAAAGGTTCTGCCGACGATTGTCCCTATCACCGGATGGAAGCGATGCATTACAAAAGTCTGAAAGAGCCGTTCACTAACTTGTTCGTGGTCGTGGATGGTAATATCTGGAAAGAGTGGCGATATTTCATAAAAATTACGGAACCAGATAACCGGGTTTCAGATATGGTGATCCGCTACTTTGTAGACCGTTCGAAAAACACGATAGATATTCTTCACCAGTACAGCCCGGGTATCGGCAGGATTACCGCCTGGGATCCATGGTCCGGGGTGAGGTCGCTTTCACATACCGCTAATCAGATTTCAGTATTTTGCCGGAGCTAAAGGGGTCGTGCGGCTAGACAGTCAATCGAGGCCAAAAATCGCAGAGATTCATCGCCATCTTGAAATGCCTTTGCCGGAGATCCGCAAGGAAGAGCTGGCTCAGGTAGGTTTTTTGGGAGTTAGAATACAAGAGCGCCATGCTGCTCAGCTGCGGATTCGCACTAGATTTTGCGTCTACCGCGAAATGGACGACGACCACGTCGCGAATTTTGCGTTGCACATTGCAGGCGCGGGAAGAATTAAGAACCTTGCGGTTCTTCGGTCCTCACACGCGGCGCGCCGATTGGCAGCCATGAAAACGCTACGGTATCCCTCTAATATAAGCAATCCCCGTCAAAATTTTAAAGTTGCATTTAAGAAGCAAAAAATGCGAAAAACGCTGCTTTCTAATAAATTTTACACTTTACTTTCCTGAATAGTTATGAGCAGTTTGAAATGTTCAAAAAAATTTTTTCAAAATAACAAAAAACTTATTACTGCCTGATACCACTCTTCTCCCTGGGGCCGCGTAAAATAATGGAACCACCTGGTTATACAAATTGTACGAAATACGGTAGTTCATTACGCAATAGAAGGGCGGGCATAAGCGGTGCGTGTCGCTTGGGCGATAATCCTACAGAAAATTCAAGATCATGCCTACTGTTTTTACGGGCATTCCCATCATATAAGCGGAAAAAGTATGTGTGTTTTCTGTGCATCCGATTTTTCGGCCGTCAGGCCGAAACTGAGGCTGGTTTTTGGCATTGTGGAGTGGAACAACAGGAAGTGGAGAAACACATTTGCCAGAAACGCATTTTTTTTTTGTTTTTGGAAATTCCTTCATTTACGATTTTACAAACAAAATGGTGAAAAGCCTTAACAATATGGCCGAAGTTCCGTGCTGTCCGGGGCATAACTCGACGCCCTGATCGAATCCGGAGCAGCAAACAACACCTTTTTAGGTCAGTGGCACGCACATATCGGGCTGCAGGGTACGTCTGTACAACGGGTTCGCTGGATGGGTTTTATTAAACCACTCAAAATTAGGAACCTCGTGCAATACGGCGAACACGACTTCGGCTTCGTCCCGCCGCCAAATCTGCCATCCGGGCCCTACGTCGCTTTCCTGGGTGGGCAACCAGCGTTGAATCGCTACGTGGTACTGAGGAGTGACGGCATTGTCGACTACGTGGAGGCGGACATAAAACAAGTGGCAGATTGTATGTTTTTGGCCATGTACGAGCCATAGCTTGTACATCGCTTTTTACTGGCTCTGAATCCTACTATATTTAAAAAATAATGCCTTTTTGGCAGTATACATTTGCATGCAACTTCCATCAGTATTTCTCCAGGATATCTCTATAAGGGTAGAAAGTTAAGGGGCATATGCAGGGACGTAGCGTAATACAGGCCCCGGGGGGCCCGGGCCCCCCCCCACCCCGAAATCTAGCCCCCAAAATCCGGGTTAACCCTAGGTTGGCCTACGGCATTGGTGAAGCCCAAGGAAGTTGTCACGGTGCTGCCTTACGATCCGGCGTTGCGGTATAATGCCAGCTTCTTCTGGGGTTATAGCGACCCGGAGAGCATGTGGGTTTTTTTTTGAAATTGCGATAATCGTATCTTAGAGCCGATTACAAAGCAAAGCTCCTTTGTATAGTCACGGATCTGAGGACCTGTTCGATCAGGGTGGGCCAATCGAAAAGCGTCGTTCAAGCATCGTTTAAGGTTTATGGCAAGGAGGGCAGGCTGCTTTTGGATCGCAGCGAGCAGGGTAGGATGGGTCGATGGCAGAATGCGTTGCCAAATACCAATTCCGTGCGAGCTCAGTAGGTGGTCTCGATAGATTTTGAGCCGATGGACTAATGACTCGGCACTGTAACGTGTTTTCCATTCGGGACCAAGCCTGTCATGTGCAGAATTTTGCGCTGATGTCGAATCTGTTGTCCAAATTTGCCCAGGAGCCCGATTTCAAAAAAATGGAGCTGTTTTTGTTACAAACTGGCCATGAATAATGAATCGATTTTCAATGCCTGCAGAACACCTGTAAAGTATTTTCTGGATGAACATAAACCATAATTAGGCGCAGAAAAACATGCTATTCCGAATGAGCCATTTAACGAAACTGTAGCGAAAAAGAAAAGGCCTTATCCCCCACCCGGAAGTTCCGAAAAGTTTTTAGCTATAACTTTTTTATATTTTTATATAATATTATTTTGGGCTGTAATTAAAACTTGTAGTGCATTTTTGATGCTCTAATGGCGTCGATTTTTTGATGATGACGTAGCCAAGGTCTCGGGAAAATAGCAAAACTGTCTCCGGCTGGGTCGCAAAGTAAGGCCCAGCAGCCCCAAATCTTCGTTCAACTTTAGTAGTACTTTAGTTCGTTCAAATTTTTTCAACCCAAGCCATCCCGACGACGTACCCGGTTAAAACATTGACACGGATCGGCTTAGCATAGGCTTAGATTATGCTTGCCTTAGCTTTGCTCCACAAAATCTCTTCCAAGAACGTTCTTGGTTTCTATCTGTCTGCGTCTCAGAAAATAGTTTTCAGACTATCCGACATATTAGTGGTAAAAGCGGGGTTTCTGCTGACGAATGTGACGAACCGCATCGTCGTTGTCACCAAGTAATCGTGTTCCAGCTTTTGGTTTTCAATGAAAATTCAGCCACTATTTTTTGATCGAGCGGACAACAAACACGTACAAACGCTATGACATCGACACGTTGGTGCCGTTTGGTCGCGACAGGTGAGGTGCATCAGAAATTCCTGCGCTCTGGAAAATTTGGGAAAGTTTTGAGTTTCTTAGAAGAGTTATTGAAAGTACGAAGCCGCTGTTTTAACCCTTTTCAGGCCAATATGCTGCCCACGTATCCCGCGACCAGGCGACGAAGAGCGAAATCGAACAATTGTCGACTTCGTCGTGCCAAATGAGCGACAGCTGTTGGTGCTGCTGCAATGCGGCTACGTGATTTACTACAACTGGGGAGTCGTGACTCCGTACCACCCGCGTGAGTGAGACATTGTAGAACAATACGCAAGGTACGTGGGTGTGACTAACTAAAAACATATCCTACCTTATATAATTTTGGCGTCTTTGTGTGTGTAGATGTCAGTTTCGAGGCCAAATTTCAGGCGCCTTCCCGTGTCCAAAATGCCTCAATGCTTCGTGACCGGGGGGAATCGACCCTTTTGTTTCCGATGACGTTCTCAGAATTTTGATAAAATACAACTTTACAAAGTTAATGGCGGCTTTATTGTTTTTTGGGGGACCGGAAGGGCTAATTTGCATAATGTGATAAAATACAAATTTCCTCATTCTTGCCAGTTGCACACGCAAGTGTGATCGGTGGGTGGGTCCACAGGACCCGAGCTAACGGAAAGTAAAATTTCTCATGCAGAGGCCACAATCCAGCGCCCAAGGGCCGCGAAGCAGGTTTTGGGCGCTGGTAAAAATATAAAATATAGTATAAATTTCATAAAATATGTAGGCTATGTGAATTCCTGGTTCAGATGAGAATGGGGCGCACCAGAGGCGTTGGAGGAGTATCCCAGGGATTGTTCAAGCAAGAGCCTTCCGGCGCTCTTCTAGGGGTACAATCCAGGTATACTACAAGCCTGCGGTAAACCTTGCCGTTTAGGTCTTCGGGTTTTCCGAGAGGACGCGTAACGACGGAAAGAAGGTACTGACGAGCCGTTGCCGTTCTTGTTGCAATACTGCGATTTACCATGTTTTCAGATATTGACTCCAGCAGTCTATGACTTGGAAAAGAACTTCAACAATATGACTACCTGTCAGCAGGACATGAGCAGTATCGCTGAATTACCCAAGGACTACTACGATCTGTGAGAAATGCAACATATGCTTAAATGAGGGGTTTATCAGGCACGTGGTTGATAGTGTTGGCATCTACTCGCTGCAAATCGAACATCAAGCGAACAAAAAGAACGTAGGTTTTCCCATCCCAAAAAAATCTTGTAATCCGGATCCAAGCCAAAATTGAAAGTGTGAAGACCCAGTTTCCAGAACTTACTAAGGATCCCTGCGACTCGATTGACTCATCTCCAGCCCCCGCTAATCAACCACAAAGTCGAGAAGATGGTTGCGTGGCCGGTGGATGAATATGGATTTAGCTTGGTAGGCGATAGTCGATGCGCCGCTAGCCGTAAAGTGTTTTTACTCAACTTGAAGTGCATCATCTGCAGAATTTTTCGCTGATTGCGCCCCCGTGTTCCAAATTTGCGGCGGATTTCTATTTAAAAAGCCATTTCACATGCAAATTAAGCTTAGAAATCGTAAAAATGGGTCCGCGTCCACGTTTCGGTGATCCAGTCAGCCTGCCGGCAAAAACCTTTATCTGGTCTCCCCCATCTAATAGCACGTTTGACAAAAGGTACAATGGTAGTGTCGTGGCTTTTTAAGCGCAGGGCGGCCGTTCGAACCCCCGCCCTGCGCAATTACTTTCGCTTTTTGCCTAAAAATTGAATAAAAACACTTTTAAGCTTGCGGCTCGACGCCAACGGTCCAACTGTTTTTGATCAAAAACTTCTTGCCGAATGTCTGTGGAAAACGGGTTTTTAGCGCCCGATTTAGCCGTGTTTTGCACGTAAATGGAACGTCTTTCTGTCAAAGGGCAAGGCGAACACTTACGTCGCCGTCGCATGCCTGTATATCAGAGGGTTGTCGAGACCCAAATGTGTTTCCAAAAATACATATACCACCAGGGATTAAAAGCCGCTTCGCGACCTTTTCTACTCTGTTCCCGTAAGATCCTATGCTAATCTGTTCTCCGCGTGCGTCTCAAATTTCCGATGACAAATCGCTTTTTTTATTCCATCATCTAGGGGGTCGCTACATCCGGTGCGTGCTAATTTCTTCGTAACATAGAGTGCCGCCGGTTTTTTAAACAAAAACTCAAATTTAATGTCGAAAATAGGCAATTTTGATAAATCTGATGTGCGTGCAGTCATCTCGCTGCCACCAAATGACGTCCTAGATCAAAAAGAATATCGCAACTAGCGCCAGGGAATATGTGCTAATTTTCAGATTGCCGCGATCGGGCCGGCCCTGACGCTTCTGGTCTACCAACCTGAATTTGGTAAGAAGGGCAGATTTCGGCAGTTTCTAAAATTTCAGAGAAGCTGACGGTCGTCAACGAACACTATCCCCGTTACCCATGCGTTGATGTCACCTTCACGGGTGTCAAGCAGAAGGTAGCATACCGGAATTGATTCATACGGAATTCTGTCCAGTTTGACCGAAATTCATTCACCCTCAACTCATTTTTTTCCAAAAGCCGTTCACGCAGTCCTACCGGACAAGCAAAAAACGCGCAAAAAATTTCCCCGCCGCTAAATACGAAAAAAATAATTCGTGAAAAAATACGTCATTCACCCTTTTCAGGTTAACAATGAAAAATCAATGCGCTCGCACATCAAGGGATATATAATCCTGGCTACGGAGGGCGACGTCGAGGTTCTGGAGTTTTTTTTGGGTGGCCAACCAACTGGCAGGTTTTTCTTCCGCTCTGTTTTGAAGCTATGAGACGCCCGAAAAATAGATAATATTCAAGAATGAGACATTTAGGGAAGATATACGCTACTTCTCGAATCATAATTGAGACCATTGATACTCCCGCACCATCGCATGTAAGCATCGAAGTCGGGATTGTTTCGAGAAACATTTTTAATGTCGGACCGCGGGTTTGCAGCATCTATGCTCCACTTATGGTTTGACAACCTGGCTCCGCTTGGCCCGCAACCATCGAATTTAGCTTGAATTTTGTCAAAAAGGCATTTTTTATGTATTTTACGTGGCGCGGAGCCCGACCAACGAACACGATTACTTTATCGGGTAAGTTTTTCATTGATCTGCTATCCCGGAATGTCGAAATCCATTTCAAGACTTTTTCTGTATGTTTTGCAAGAAAATTGAGATGCAGCAAGAGATCAAATATCCCTTGTTCCCTTTCCGAAATATTGAAATTTGGTGAAAACCAAATTTCGCCGAAATGTTTTTCTGGCAAATGATTTTAGACAAAATTATTTTCGAAAAATTGAAAATAATCTATTTTCTTAGGCTAAGCAAGCTTTTTGTTTATTGCCATGAAGAGAAGGCGTCCTGGACAATTTTTCAAATCAGAGCCTTAACTTCAAACTTCAGAAAGTTCGTAGTCGACGTCACCCAATCGATGGCACCACTCGGCTATGACCACGAGCGCGTACCGTGTCCGGGATTTTTCAAACCTGGGCAACAATTTAAGGTATAGTTCTTGCTAAAGAAGAATTTCACTGCATTATTTATATTTTGATTTCAGAATAATTTCAGCTGCTGCTCAAACGAAATCCGGACAATGAGCCCACTTTAGAAGTTTACTGTCCAATCGCCGCGAACCCAACAAGATTCGTAAGAATTTTCAATGTCAACAACGGTATTGTTACAGAAGTTCGGGGTCTGGGATCTAAAAAACGATGGCTTCGAATTTGTAAAAGAGGTGGCTGCGTTTGAGGCAATTGATGATAGTGGGAAACTGTATTCGGTATGATTTCATGACGACTAGATGGATACAAGAAGACAGGCGACGATTCACATCATGAAACTGAAAACTTTGTTTTAGCTCAGATGGCAGGATACGTATTATACGATAAAAACACGATTGGTTGACGCAATGTTGCAAAGAGCGAGCGGAGTTAGTGAAGCGGATGGTGGTAGGGCTTTTTATTCGGAGGCATTTTTATTACAGTTCATTTTAAGAAATCGATAATTAGGCCAGAATTCTATAGCAGTAGTAATTTATCGTTTGAGCGATTGTTGATACTAGATATATATTTCTAGCCCCAACGTACTTCTTCCACAAGAAAGATGGGGAATTTGGTTGGCTGTTGGCCAAAAAATCGAATGGCAACCCGGTAATTTTAAGTAGCGTTTATAAAGTAAATTATTAATTTTTCAGAATTTCTTCCCTGATAAATGCCTAACAGCCAGGGCGAAGCATGTAAAATTTGAGAAATGGGCGCCGATCTTACGGTAAAACTTCGGAGGTCGCGATTAATTTTTTAGAAACCATGCAATTCTGTACAATGAAGATCATCTACAAATCGTACGCGCGTGCAGCTGCCTAACCAAGAAGAAAACCTAATTATGCTTTAAATTTTGTGGATTGCTCACTCTTGCCTGTGACTTATGCATCTCTTGCCCCATTACTACCTGCCAATGCATATTCTCGTGTTGATCCCTCATGATTTACGGTTCGAAAATCCCGCATAAGAAAGATTGTTTTTAGACGATTTGCGTTGATAAAAAAAGCTTAAGGGCTCAAGAGAAGCTTCCTTTCTTCAAACAAGTGACAAGAAAAAAGTCTCGGATATCGGCATCGGAGGAAGGGCCATTGGCCCAGCCTTCATGATCGCCTTCAGATACTAATAACTTACCGTCAAGGAAAGATTCAGCTCCTTACTATTGGATTACCTGCTATATTGGGTGCGCACACAAAAAATCGCTAAAGAATCTGACGGGATGCCCGCAATTGCCCGCAAACGATTTTTAAAGGGGGTCTGGAATCCGGCAGGAATCGAACCCGGGTCGTGTGCCTGGGAGCCCTGTGGCGCAGTGAGTAGAGCGTCGGCGTGCCAATCCAGAGCTGCCGCCAGTTCAATCCCAGCCCCCTCCAAAAAGCTGAATTTCTTTTTGCTCTTTTTTGCAAACACTTCAACTCGTCTTCTAGATGTATTCTCGTGCTTCAAAATCCAAAAATTTTTTGTTATGCATTTTTCGGGAACATTTTTGTTGCGTTTTGAGCTCACTAAATGGAATATTCGAGCAAATGGGTGGCTGGCCGACTGATAAACGATACATCAATCGATGCAGAAAAAAAATGGCGCATCTTTCTATGCTAGTCTGATGATGCGGCCGAACACCCATCAAGTCGAAAACTGCAAAAAACTGTTTTTGGTACACAATATACCTATGTTCCGGCCATTTTCGTGCGTCGCAATGTATTAAAAAAATGTTCCCCATCTCAAATTAGGCTTAGTCACAAAATTTGAGCCTATTCGGCCCGGTACTTTCCGAGATAATTTTTTAAGGTTTGCAACTTTAGTGCCAATTTTAACTAGGAAAATAAAATTTTAAAAATCTCAAAGTGGTGCCACCCTTCTAATTCGACCATGCTCTTTCAGATGACGTCAAAAAAAACAGGGTCGAAAAAACTGTACCAAGCCATATTGGGGACAGGTCGGGTGAGCCGCGGAAGGTCTTTTAAGTATGATTTTTCGAAAGGTTCCGAAGCGTTGTTTTGCCCTTTGCAAGGGCCTGATGACTCATTCTGGGGATTTGCTTACGCGAGGAATGCTTTGGGGGAAATCAGACAAATGCGCTGCCTCATCCCCCATTTAAGGAAAATTACCGTTTATTGTATCATTATTTATATTTACCCATTATTTACGTTAAATCTAGAAAAAATGGATTCTCGACCACGACGTTCGGCGCCCACATTTTATCCGCCGACCCAATCTCCCAGGAGCGCGATTATGGAGTTGAAATTCTGCGGAAAGAACTATATAATCGCAGGTTTGAAGTTTTCCATTTTGATTTTGATTTTTCAATAGTTTTGTGAGCAGCTCGAAATAACGCAATTCAAAAAAGTGAGAGCAAAACAGTATTGTTTTGAAGATGCAGATGTAAGCTATCGTCAACATTTTCGCTATTTATGGCTATTTTGAAAAGACCATTTGATAGAGCATCGAAAAACCACGCTAAATTTTGAACTTTAACTGAAAAGGGCCTGAAATAAAATTATTATTATGGCAAAAGGGAGCATAATCTGGGCGTGCTGTTGAACACTACTTTATTGATTTTTAAATTTTGTTTTGGAGAGTTGTATTTCTATTTTTATTTGTATTTTTACCGGGAGATGACAGTTGGGACCCAAGACTACCCCTTGTTAACCTTGGCCTAAGCCTAAGCCCAGGCGTAAGCCCGGGCCCAAGCCGGCGCCTACGCCTAAATCTAGGCCTAATCCTAAGCCCACGCCCAAGCTTAAGCCCAAGCTCAAGCCCAAGCCTAAGCCTATGCCCAAGCCAAGTCTAAGCCTTAGCCTCACCCAAGCCTGAGCCTCAGCCTAAGCCCGAACCTAAGCCGACGCCTAATCCCAAACCTAGGCCTTAACTCTTGACTTTGGGTTGCTTAAATCCAGTTTATGACTTCGGAAGGGATCTTACTTAATGAATTCTAGCGATCGGCCACCGCATCGAGCTAATCCCAATTCGTGCTTCCGCCCCTCACCTGCCGCAAAGCCCAGGCACTCAATATCTGTTTCCCGTGTACGATCGAGGCGAAGATATCGTGCAGATCCAAACAGATTTGTTACCGGATGAAAAAGGTTTTTTCCTTTTAATGATTAAAATACGGCATTCAGACGCCATTGTATTTCTGCATACGCGTGCTCTGAAATATGCCGTTTTACGCCTCAGCTCCTTGTTCGCCTATATTTTTGGTCACTGGAAAGCGTGGGTTTTGCTCTCCGTATTTGAGGAATTTTCGAAAGCCAACATTTCACCACTAAACCCACTAAAAAAATTAAAGCACCGTCCACTACGGGTCATTTGGTGCTTTAATTTTATTTTCAATATCTACTTTTTGCATTAATTAAAGAAGTATGAAAGAGATGGCGGAGAGAGAGAGATAGAGAACGAGAGAGAGAGAGAGGGCGAGAGAGAGAGAGAGAGAGAGAAAGAAAGTTGAAAAATTGCCAGAAAATGTTGGAAGAAGAGTATCTTAGCCACCGCCTACCGTAAATGCTTCTTTAGGCTGCCCGAAAACTGGAAGATGGTCTGTGTCACCCAAATAGAAGGTCAAACGCAGCTTCCAAAAACCCTGCATGCGAGTTCTAAGTGGTTTTTTGACGCTGGCGATCCGGATTTGCTTTCAATGAAGCTGGCGGTAAGTGCCGTTTTTTGGTCTGCTCGATGATTAAAACCAAGCGAGTCTTGACTTGAACTTGAACTTTTGGCATTTCTTAGGCTCTATTTGGAGGCTGACCGATAGAGCGGTAAAATATAAGAAGAACTGTGTGTTCAGCTCCATTAATGTTTTTATTCAAAAGTAATAGCAAAAAAATGACTTTCGAAACAGGTTGAGCTGCTAGTTTTCATTTTTTGAGATTTTTCGGAGGTCTCAAAATTTTCGACATTGCTGCTAGTTTTATAATATTTTGCGGGCGCCTTTCGATGTAGCAGTGTCAAATAACTTATCAGAACCTTGTACTGACTTCGTCATTTCCACGCCCTGTATTTAGCTACGCGGGCCGAGGAACGCGGGACTGAACCGCTATCTGACGGCGTACGAGCGGGTGAAGAAGGTGACCTTGCTGTACGAGGAGGGCACAAATGTTATTGTGTCGTGTTTTGAAGGCAAGAGCACTTCCTTGGAGTTTCCAAAGGTTGGTTAGATGGTGAGTACTCAATTGGTACATGTGTCCCAAACAGTGGTATTTGGCATTTGGCCTTCTTACATCCTATCGGGCTGAACATCCGGCAAAGGTGGATCCTACCCTAAATAACCATAATCCCCACTCACAGCCCCGGAGCGACAGTAGTTTTTGAGTTATACACGGTGTTCCGAAAAAAACCCGACTGCTTTAGCGGTGCGGTTTTGACAATTTAGGTATCTATCGAAAGCTTTCGGAAAGGCGAGAAAACAAGCACTTTTCGTTGTTCAAGATACCCATCTTGATTCGCTGATTTTAGGAGCGGAATCCATGAAAACTGCCGATTTTTGGCAAAATCAGCATGTTAAGGGCCTTATAAAGCTAACAGGATAACGCTGATTTTGCACTTTTTAAGACATCGTTGAATATCGCGCGCTGGCTAAAATTGTGTAATACGAAAAGCGTTTGTTTGCTGGGCGGTTTCAGGGCTTTCGAATGGTGTAAAAATCATCCCGATCCGACCGTTCTCCGGCCTCTAGAGGGGTCGATTTGTTTTTCGAAAGCTTGTAGGAAAAATATTATCTTTTTTGACGGATTCCAGTGGTAATCGACCTAACTAAACATTCATTGTTGATGATGCGGCAAGCGTTTTATGCCGAAAAGCTTTAAAACGGAGTTGCCAGATTATAAGATTACCTTATTAATTAATTACAAATTACATAGATCATAGGATAAAGGGGAAAGCCAAATTTGTAAAATTTTTTGGGTATTTTGAAGATGCTAACTGATAGAACTTCAAGAAATGTACTAAGCGGATTATTTTCATGATGAAAAATGTATAGCAGAGGTTTTCTAACCCAAAAAAAAATTAATTTTGAAAGTATGGCCATCTCGTAGATCACATCTGGGGGAGGTAGACTGCATTCGGACATCCTATCCTATAAGCGAGAAAAGTATGTGTGTTTTCTGTACGGCCGTTTTCTCGGCCGTCAGGCCGAATTTCGAGCTGATTTTTGGCATGGGGGTGGGAAATGCCATTTATAAAAAACGGTTTTTTGGATTTTTCGAAATTCTTTGATTTAACGATTTTACAAACAAAAATGTGAAAAATCCTTAACATTTTTGGGTGCGCACGTTGTCCGGAACTTTTCTCGGCCCCTAGAGGGAACTGGGGCCTCATTTTTGGAGGGTAGATGGGAAAAGGAATTCCCCAGATACATTTTTTCTGATTTTGCAAAAAACTTTAAGTTAAAGTTTTTATAAGGATTTTTCTGCAAGGTCCTTAAGAAATCGCGGAACGGGCCGTGGTGTCCAGGCCATAACTCGAAGCCCTGATGGAATTCCGGGCTGAAATTTGGACCGTTTATGCAATCAAGGGTGGGGATCATGCGCATCTTATTATCTTTGCAAATTTTCAACAGATTCAGACTAAAAATCGAATTTTGTAATGTGACCAGAGGGCCTTCCTCCGGAATATTGGTCACCCTTATCTTGGCGCGCGTCTCCAGGACAGAACAGGCCTTTCCCGCCGCCCCTGCCCATGTGCCCCTTAGTGTGGTGGATTAGCGCTCGGTCTACCACGCGTGAGGTCATTAGTTCGG